GAATTCTACTGCCTGAGGGTTATAATCCCTAAGTGCGGCCGAAGGCCGCCTACGCAGAAAGGTGTTCTCTGCACTTTACACTTTACTTGATTTGTTATAACTTGCTTTACGACTTTAATATTAACCAATTCATCACAATTCATTAAATAAAAACACCTTCAAAATCACGCGTCTGACTTTGGTTGCATATGCAAATTAAATGGCGGAGTTCAGCTGTCAAACTCCAAAATATGCAAAAGAATGAGAGACAAAAGAAGATAGGATATAACCCAGTAAGCATTAAAAATATACAAAGGTGTTCTCTGCAAAAGGTATTCAGCTCCTTTTCTTCGCAAAACAGAAAGGAGAATTCTACTGCCTGAGGGTTATAATCCCTAAGTGCGGCCGAAGGCCGCCTACGCAGAAAGGTGTTCTCTGCAAAAGGTGTTCAGCCCCCCTTCTTTGGCAAAACAGAAAGGAGAATTCTACTGCCTGAGGGTTATAATCCCTAAGTGTGGCCGAAGGCCGCTTACGTAGAAAGGAATTCTACGCAAAAATACATTTGTTAAAAAGAACATTTTTTTTTATAGAAACTTTTTTTTTTATTTTTAATTAACTTTTTATTCTTTATTCAAAATCCCCCCATATCTAATTTGGCATAATTTCTTTTATTAAAAAATCCCACGGTTTCTGTTAGTTGGGTCATATTCCACATCAAACTGCTCAGTTTGCCTAAGAAAAATCCGTTTTTCCCCCTTTTTCAAACGGTTCCCTAGGTGCCTGTGGGAGGAGTCCAAGGAGGGGGTTCCCCTTTTTAGAAAGCGGCGACTGCCTCCTTTCTATTGGGGGGTGTTTTGGGGGCCCGGCCAATCCCCCTCCGCCCCCCACCCAAAAAACGGTGTGAGTGGTACTAAACATTTCCCAATTTGGGTAATTCTCTAGTGTACCGAATTTAAGGAAAAAAATCGCGCGATTTTTTATTAAAAATTTTCATGGTAATTCTCTAGGGTGGGGTAACAACCCCTAAAAATGGTGCGGAAAAGTCGGGAGGGGTACCAAACGACGCGTTTCGGCCCCCCTAATAACAATCCGGAGGGGGGGATATAATATTATTAACCATTTAAAAGTTATGAACAAAAAACTTTTGTTAAATTTCGTTGTTTTCTATGAGCAATTACCACGTCAAAAATGCACTAAATCACCAGTTTCCACTTTTAAAACACTACTAAAACGTTTCCGGTTATTATTTTATGCAAACCAAATCATTTATTCTCTTTTATTGTATATATTTCGTTAATAAAACAGAGTAAACAAACTTTGCGCCTGCTAAAATTATTATAACCTCAAATCGCTGGTATTGCCACTTTATTTCACATTTCATTTGCGCTATTATACTCAGTTTACACTATACACTTCTTCTTCTTCTTCTTTTTACATTCATCTAAATAAGATATGGTAACCAAAATATAATAGCAAATTTCGCTATACCATCGCGCGATTTTTTATTAAAAATTTTCATTATTTATCGAAGTATTAATTTTGATAGAAAAAGCGCCGCAGGCGAAAATTTTTAATAAAAAATCGCGCGA